ATTAATCTCGGTGGAAATGGAGGTCTAAAAATTGATGATGCTGCTGTTATCTCTGCTGTAGACACTGATGATCAGTCGTGGTGTCATAACTTCACTATGGAAGGTGTACAAGAGCCACTTCTTACTGTGGAGAGTTCAGAACTACTTGATGTATCACTTTGGCAAGTAGCTGGTTCTGCTCGTGTATGTGTACAAGATGCCAATATGTTATGGTCAGATGTTGCCCTAACCTTGGATGGTAATGTAAGTGATGTTATTGTGCTTGAAGCGAATCCATCGTCAATGAAGCCATTTCCCACACCACCACGTGTAGGACAAGAGGTACAGTTAACATTTCAACTTGTTACAGTTCCTAATAAAAATGATCTGGTGCGAGTGTCAACTGATATGGAGAAAGTACCATGTGAAACTTCTACACCGGTAACAGGACTGGCAAAGGATATTTCCGTAATGGTGAATACCACAACGAATACATCTGTTGCTATCCCTAAAGATAGTACCGATCCTCTGGATTACCGCAGTTTTAACACAACAGGGTCATATAAAGTCTGTTATTACAATGCAGTAGAAAAAGTCTGGAGTATTGCAGGGGGATCAATAACGGCAGGTACGCTCTCTATACAACCCATGGTACCAAGTTCGTGGAGTGTATTAAATAACGTGCAACCCACCTTTGCAGAGCCATTTGTATTAGTTTTTGATGATCCTTTAGGTAATCTTAATGCTTCAGGTGATGTGGCGTGGGCTGTGCCAAGTACACAATCTTGTGGAGTGGATCGTGAAACATGTAAGGCATGTATTGCTTTTCAAATGAATGTAGACGCATCTACAGATAAAAGTGTGCGTACACAGAATATTCTTTCTCATATTGTAGGTAAATTTAATCTTTGTTATCAATTAAAGGATGCTACGGCGGCGGCGATGTTGGAATCATTGGAAATACGTGCTGGTGATGTGGAATGTGTTAAAGAAAATAGCATACGTGTTGGACAACAAACTGTCATTACATTTGAAAAACGCAGTGAAGTTGATGTAACTAATGATAGCTGGCGTGTTTCTTTCTATGGTACAAGTACCTCAAATTGTAGTTCAGGTTATGATCCTGCTTTTCCTTTGGGTCGTGCCCATTTACTTGGGAGTACTAATACCACTGTACAGTATGCTGTGGAGTGGCCAGTGTCTATGGTGGATAATCGTTATCTTTTATGTTACACACATAATGGGATATCAAGACCTGTTTGTACGTGTGAACAAATTAATGCCCAAACAGGTGAATGTTATGTAGAAACACTTGCTGCATCTCCACTTTATTTTGTACCGGATCCAAATCCCACATATGTTGGTCAAAGTATACAATTGGATTTTACCCTTGATCCAGCAATGACAGGAAATCCTGTTACCAAAGTGAAGTTTGTTAAATATGTTGATGATCTTACGATCTGCGCCAATGATGCAGCATTCCCACTTGAAGATGATGATGTTACTTCAGTGACAGCGACATTATATCGTTTTACATTTAAGCATAACTACACTTATGGGGCGGAATCACTTATTGTATGTACGCTTTCCCCATCGTTGTCACTGAACTACTCCCGAGTAGGTACAATAAATCCGAAAAACTCCAGTAATTTATTGACACTTCGACCTTATATGAAACTAACAACGTTTCCTACAAGTGCAGATCTTCTGCGTGCGATGCAGACAATTAATTTTACCTTCACACATGCGTCAAGTGAAGAAGGTGATGTTGTTGGATCAGGGGATCGTATGGTATTTGTACCGGATCCAAACGCATGTTATGAACCAGTTATTGAGAGCATGTCACCAGAGATTGAATTAGCTCAATTTGTACGGGATGATACTTCCTTTTCAACGATTCCTGCACCTGTATTGGATCCAAATAACGAAACACGTTCTTCTCATATTTATGCCACCTTTAATTCTACTACCGGGGTGGGAACATTTTACGTTTGTTACAAACTCTTTGCTGGAACATGGGCCCCTATAGTGACTGCTGTTACTATTCTTCCCGCTGGTGTAGAAAGTTGTGCTGCGACACCGCCAGTCTCTAGTCCTGGTAATGGAGGTGATATCAACCCGCGAGCAATGCAGTATATGCGAACAACAATTGTAGGAACAGCTGAAACTGGAACTCAACGTGGTGATAATGATGCTGTGAGTGTTGTACCACAGTCATCTCCATGTATAGATGCAGCAGCGGCTGTTTTTGTCTCTGGTGTTAAGATTAACAGTGAAACCAATATTTCTCTTATTGCCTTTACACCATCACCTGGGAAGTATAAGGTTTGTTATCGTCTTGGTGGGGCACAGAGTTCAACCTCCAACTGGAGTCCAGTTTGTACATCATTAACTTTCTCAGAGGCTACACCTACAGGAAGTTTTACGGGTTGTCTACGACTTGGTCAGACCCTCGATACAGCGACAACGCATCGTAATGGACTTCACTTTACTCTCACAGATAGATTCCGTTTTGTTTCTGGAACTGATCAGTGTATTTACGCTAATAATACAGAGACCGTTTCTAATAGTATTTTTGTTGGAGATGCTGCACAAACGGTAGATGGAACCCCTGTTACGAGCACTAATACCACTTTTACGATACCTAATGCATTACTTGGAACTGGAACTACTTCACTACGTCTTTGTTATAAGGATGCTGTTGGAAATCAGTTTGCTGTGCCTCTTGATCCTACACAACTTGAACTTTCAGAGTTTCCTGTTAATTCACGTCTTCCTGCAGAATTTAAAGGACGAAGTCATGTAACCGCAGGACAACGTGGAATAATGACATTTTTGGCAAGTTCTAGTAAAGAGGATGGAGAATTAGTACCATATAAACCCACTCCACCAAATCCTTATGAACCTGGAGAAGCGTATAATGGTAATTTTGATGCCGCCACTGCAATTCTTCTTTCTTCTTCTCTTGCATACCGTGATGGACGCTGTTATGTAAGTAATCCTACTACATATGGAGTTTACGGTAACAGTACACAAACACTTGGTTCATTTGATCCTACTGCTGGTGGATCATATATAGCCTGTTATAGACCTAAGGGTTGTAGTGTTGAGGATGTACAATTACCATTTAAAGTAGGAGATTATAATCCATTAAGTTGGGGTGTTACCCCAACCCCACCACGTCGAGGACAATTACTTGATTTTTCCTTTCTACGTAATACTGTTGATCCAGAAGCACTTCCGTTAACACCGGGTAAAGATCATGCTACAGCTCAGGTAGACTTAAACTCTTGCTGGAGTTTACCTATAGATGCTGGTGAAGTTGTTGGTGGTACAACAAGTCGTGCAACATTAGACAATATAATATTTCCTGCGCAAAGTCCCAATACTTCTAAACTGTCTCCATATAGAGTTTGTTATTTCTTAACGGAAGAATCATGGGGAGATATACCAAGTGGTCGTAGTTCAATCCTTCCAGCAAATCCTACTCAATTTACTGTACTTAATGATCGAGCTCGAGTGTCGCAAATTAATTATATTCAATTTCAAGGTAGCTCACTTGGTGCTGATGATCGTGTAAAGATTATCGAGAAATCCAATTCCTGTACTGATAGCTCAGTCCCACCAAATGATATGGTATCACATGTAGCTGGTAGTGGAGATACGATTCCAGGTACATCAGATGGTTGGAGTATAACAAATGCAACAAGTACAAATACTATTTTAAATATAAGTACTTCTACTGAAGGAACATATAGTGTTTGTTATCGACTTAAAACAGATACTGTATGGACATTAGTATATGGAGATCTTATTATTTACGAACGTGATCCTTCGGGATTGGCATTAGTACCTCTAAACCCATTGGAAGGTCAACTCTTTACATTAAATTTTACATCAAAAGAAGAGTTATCTGGTATGTCAGGAGATGATCGTATCGCATTATATACAGGTATGATGTCGTGTCTCGCACCAGACCCTGATGCGGATGTTATTATTACTTCTCCTTCACGTATAGATCTCTTACCGTTGAGTTTACCTTTTCAACTTGCTGTAGGAGAACGTGGTAATCATACTCTTTGTTATTGGAAACCTAACTCCATAGTCTGGGGATTTCCTATAATTGTCATTGCTCCTAATCCATCAAATTATACTACTTGGCCTGCTATGGGAGTATTACGTGCAAATCAATTGATTAGTTTAATATTTGAAGGTTTTGGACTTATATCAAAGAATGAAAATAAAACGGATAAAGTAAAACTTATCCCTTCAACAAATACGCAGTCAGATGGAATGTGTCAAACAGTAGAATCTTCACCAAATATTTTCTATTACTCTCCATTAAATGCAAATGGTACAAATGCTGTACAAGTTATTCGTTCTAATGTAGTGGGATCTTATTGGTTATGTTATAAACTAAGTGGTGGACAATATCATGTATTTCCTGGAGAAGCTATAATGATGAGTACTGCTGATCCATCAGGTGCGGTATCATCTAAAGGAGATAGTATTTGGAATGGTGAAAGTATAAACTGGACTATTCAATCATTATCTCCATCAGTAGATGGAGCTTTTGTATTTTATAGTTTAGAAAAATGTAATGATATCCCATATTATGTTATCCCTAAACCTACAATGGAAGAATTCCCACAAGGTGTGGCTATGGTTCAAAATGGATATTCCAACCTTCGTGCAGCTCCCTTAATAGCAAATGGTACAATACTATCTATATGTTATTATGCAACGGGAATTACTACTATGTTAAAGGAAAATGCGGTACAAGTTATGACAGGAATTCCACCCGTGTTAGAAACTCCACTCTCTGTAAAGGCATTAGAAATATTTCAATTTAATCTTAGTGTAACTCCTGTTGAAAATGATTATCTTGTACTTTTAGCAGATCCAAATAAATGTGTAGGTCAAATTGCTCCTTCTCCTACAAGTGATGCATTTATTATAATGGAAACGGAGAATTCTAATACTATTACTACAACCGCTCTTAAAGGATCAGGAACATTTTATATTTGTTACTCTCATAGAATAGACCGTTGTGCTGCTAGTAATTCGCAAGAATGTGCTCGTATAGTTGGAGAAGTCATAGCATCTGAACCAAATCCTTCTGGATGGTCTATGAGTCCTGTTACTGTTTATACATCAGATCTTGCAGAGATAACACTTTCTCGTCCATCTGGTACTACTACAGATGATATAGATGCTGGTCTTTGGTTAACATCTATTCCTGTTTTAGATCCAACTATGAGTCTTGTTGCAACGGCATGTATGCAACCTATTTCTACGGAAGGAAATATATTACTTGAACGTGATGAAAATAATAAAGATCTTTGGAAGGTTCGATTAAATAGTACCGGAAGTTATGGTCTTTGTTATAAAACGAAAGAGGCATTAATGCCAACTATTTTTCCTCATATAGAACATGCAGGATTAGTAGTTTACTTAACAAATGTAAGTTCCGTTACATTTGCAGAACCACCAACAGTTGGTCCAAATACTTTAATTGTTTTACAAGGTCGTGGTCTATCTCAAGGTGATAAACTTGTAGCTGTTGGTGTTCCTACTGCTGCTACAGAACTTCCAAGTGATATATGCAGTAATGATTCTTATACACCACGTGTTCCGGCAGCGAACTCTACAGAAGGTTATGGTCTTAGTTCTATGGTACGAATAATAAAATTTGAGGTAACAAAGAAGTATGTTTTGTGTTTTCAAGCAGCAGCTTCATCAGGACCTATGGTACTTATTACTTCTTCTCCATTTGAGGTTAATCCTAGAGTGTTAAGTGTTCGATTGGTATCTGTTGCCTTAAATAATACACCACTTGTATTAGAATTTAGAGGTAGTGGATTAAGTATAACAGATTTAGCAGCATTAGTATATCTTGAAGATGAGGGTGGTAGTAATAATAATAATCCTGATATTTGCACAACAGCATCTTATACAGAAATGACGAGTACGAATGTTGATGGTACTGTAAGTCTTTATACAACTACACCAACACGAGTAGGAAAACATGGTATTTGTTTTAAACAAGCAAATACTGTTACTCCTACTCATTTACCAGATGAAGTAGATGTGGGAGTGCGAAATGCTACTGGAGCTATTTTTAATACTTTACCAATCTGTTCTGCATTAACTGCATGTTCACCTCAACCTGTAGTTTCTCTTGTTGATGCCTCAGGAAGTGTAACGTCTGATCCATTAGCTACAGTTGTAATGCGACTTAAAACTGTGGATGGGACTTTTGTAGATGAACGTCTCTCTGGTAGTAATATATATGAACAGAAGGATTACAGTGTATTTTACTTTTTAGCACTTACTGTATCTACTGTAGGAGAATATATTATGGAAGCTCAATTTACTTTACTTGGAGGAGTAGAAATTGTGGCTCAATCATCCCGTTTCACGGTAACCGATACGGGTAGTGGAGAAATGGAAATGTCTGCTGTAACATGTGAACCTGTTGGAATTATTGATCGTCCAGTTTCTAATTCTGCTAATACGGCAAATAATATAACATGTGTTATTCAGACAAAATCACCTTCAGCCCCAAGTGCATATAATGTTCAATTAAATGCAGGAATAAGTACTCCTGTGGTACCTGGAGGTAATAGTAGTGGATATCCGCAATACTTATTTACTGTTATTCCTCCATTTGATCAATTAACTATTCAATTTGTTTCTATTGTGGTAACTGCAGCACCACCTTTTCAAAGTTGGCCAGTAACAAATTCTCCTGTTATTGTTCGTATTGGATCTCAACCAGGACCTCAAAGTAGACTTTCTTGTGAATCTACTTCATTAAATCTTCCATCACCATCTATGGTACGAGTAGCGGATCATTTAATTTGTCATGCACAAGGTAGACGTATAATTAATGGTATGGTATGGGATATTATTGCATCACCTCAGTATATGCATATTATTCGTCTTTTAAATGATGATTATGCATCATCTCAAGTAATAGATATTGGTAATTACCCAGAAAGTTTAAATGGTGATTATGTATTTAATGTGACATTACCAGGACAACCTCTTAATGTCTCTATACTAGGATCGGTATCATCAGATGAAACAGGTAATATAAATATTCCAATGCAAGGAAGTCCATCCATATTTACAGTAATAGATGAACCACAAGAAGCTAGTTCCAGTATTTTATGTCAATCTGTAAATACCATGTCTAGTTTATGGTTTGTCCCTGTTGAGCCTTTTACATGTATATTATCTTTGGGTGCTGATGGTCATCCAGTAAATGGTTTACCGCAGGATTTTAGTGTAACCATGAATGCAGGAGGTAGTGTTCAACCTATTCAAAATAATACATGGGGTACGAAACTTAATATCTCTGCTGCTGCACCTCCTATATTAAATCCAAGTAGTAATAGTAATAGTATAAGTAGAAGTAGTCTTCTTCGTACAACAAATGGTCAGGTATTTGATTTAAGTGTAACGTATGTACCACTTAATAGACCTATTGCCGCTACTACTGGAACACTTATATATGTTACTTCAATAGAGAATGTGAATTCGAAAAATGATCGTGTAACACTTTTGTTAGTTGGATCTGGATTAAGTCCTCAGAATAAGTATGGAGTGCGTTCATCCACAGATTGTGCATCTGGGGTTTCTATTGAAGCAGTGGCTACTCCCGTTGGTAGTTCCTATGATAGAGTGGAATTAAGTTTCGCCTCACCTGATGGATCATACTTTTTCTGTTTTGCTCCCAGTGATCAACCATCACGTTGGCATCTTCTTAGCAGTGAAATAATGAACCAAACTGTTTCTAGCGGTGGTGTAGATAAATGGGTGGCGTTATTTATTGTAAGTGTCATACTTCTCTTTATACTATTTGTGTTGTTGATTTTGTTACTCTGGCGTGTTTGTATGTACAAACGTCGTAACACGACATCTCAACCAGAAATGCGACAACTGTATGTACGACCTCCAGCAAATAATCGCTTTATTCGACGCTCTGAACAACAACCACAATCACAACAAACACAACAATCACAACAAACACAACCACAACCACAACAACAAACAGAAGTACAACAGCAATTGGTGGAAGTACCAAGTAAAGGGAATAAGAGTCGGGTTCGGGTTAATATTCATGATCGCTCCCGTTATGGTACTGAACTTGATGTGGATGTAAATGGAGAAAGGAATCAAATGACCTTAACCACTGCCGCAGTCTCTAATCATTATCAAGGTAAAACAACTAATAACAAAAGGAATATATATAGTGATGCGGAGAGTAGTAGTAGTAGTGGAGCAGAGGATATGCCACGATATATCCCTCCTGTACCACCACCAGTACCACCAAGAGATGATATTCCCGGAGTCATTGGTGGTGTTGAGAATGGTGTAGAGAATGCACATCTCACACGTGCAAGTAATAATGGTTATAAAGATAAGAAGAAGGAATCACCTCCACCTTCTGGTCCATATCAGTATTTACATCACAAACTGAGAGAGGCTGTTAGGCATGAACGTGAAGATGGGGAAGGACCACAACAACCACAACGACATCCATTCATGATTCCCTCATCTGGTACACTTCAACCTCCTTCACTGCCTTCGTTAGCCTCAAACTCACCATCGCAACCTCCACTGGTTCTCTCATCCGCCCCACCACCAGCTTCTCTTACGCCGGAAACAGAGAATGAAGAACCGCCATCGTGGGTGGGACCATTTGTGGTAAGGGGACATACCTCAAGGCCGATGGTAAGTTCGAAGCCAACCTCATCTAATAGCACAAGTAAAAGAGGAGGAAAGAAAAAGAGATAGATAAGGTGTTGGTGGATAGTCTTTTGTTATGTATGGGTTTTTTTTTTTGAAGAAGAGAGAATGGAGTAACTAGGATTTGTAAAAAGGGGGAGAATACATACATATGTACATGAAATATTACTATTGTTATTGTTAAACGTTGAACGCAAAAAAAAAAAAACAGAGTGAAGAGGAAGTTTCGTTCGTTTGCTTTGTTGTTGTTGTTTTTTTTGTGTGAGAGAAAAAAAAAAAGGAGAGGGTGTGTTGATCTTATTATTTCTTCTCACGTGAGCTCTGTTTTGCTTTTGACGAATTTTTTTTTTTTCACATTTCCTTCTTTTTTTGTTTTTTTGTGGGGTGGGGTCTCACTTTTTCAGAAAGAATTGTAAGCTCTTTTCTTCATTTTTTTTTTTATCCAGTATTTTCTTTTTCTCTACATGTGCAGACATCTCACACCTTGTGTTTCCGTATATATATGTGTGTGTCTGTGTATGTCTGTACTGCGTCTTGGTTATTTTTTTTTGTTTGTGTGTTACCTTATAGACTAGCCGCGTTTACAATTATTTAACACTTCTTACCGCAGAAAATAAATGAAAAAAAAAAGATACACATGAAGAATAGATAAAAGAAAAAAAAAGAAAGAAAGAAAGCTCTGCTCAACTATCTTGAGCCTTCGCGAAAGGTTTATATATATAAACAATTACATATATATATATATATTTTTTTTCTCCCCATTTGTTTTGTTTTGTTTGAAAATATATATTACTAATTTTTTTTTCTGTGTTTTGGTACTTCTTTGTGGGCGTGTATCAAATGGAAATGAATAAAGAACGTCTAGGAAGAGAAAGAACAACACCAGTGTATATAAAGTCTGAAAGACGAGGGGTGTGTAATAGAAGAATAAAATAAGCAGAATAGAAATGATAATCTTCCCTTGGTTCCACATCACCAGGTAAAGACTGAGAATCATTTCACATCCTTGTCATTTGCTATTTTATCTTTTATTATTGTTCTTTTTTCTTTATTGCAATTCAATCCAACGCCCTACCATTCCTGCTGCAAGGAAAAAATATGGATACATTATAGAAATTCATACTCACGCCTTATGAGCTGAGTACGACCCATAAAAATGAAAAGAAAGTCAATCAGATGCGAAAATGAAAAAAGAAAAACAGAGAAAGTCTGAGACACACATACACTCATAGAATATATAGCATGTATTTCTCAGAAAAAGAAAAAAAAAAGAATACATAATCCTTTCAGAATGAGATGTAATATGGGGTGAGTATGTGTTTCTGTGGGAATTCAGAACCATCATTTTGAACAAACTCATTAAGGGGTTTTCTTTGGTTCTTAAAAAAACATTCCCAGAATTGACTTTATTTTTGTTTCTGCTTCTGTTTCTGCTTCTTCTTTATGTAGTAAATTTTGGTGAAACCAGCGGTGAATATACCGTTTGTGTTTTTTTTTTTTATTATTATTTAATTGCCTTTGGTAGAAATAACATGATTAGTTGTTTAAAAATATCCTTTTCTTTTCTTTTCTTCTCTTTTTTTGCTTATATATAAAAATTTATCAATAAAAACAAAAACAAAAACAAAGAGGAAAGCGAAATAAAAAAAATAAAGAGAGAGAAAGAAAAGGGAAAACACGTGACATGATATCAAACATCAAATACGTTAATCATGCCGCTGTATTAGGTAGTGGTGCATTTGGCACAGCACTCGCCTGTGTGCTCGCAAAGAAGGCCAAGACCGTCTCAGCATGGCATATTAATGCAAAGGAAGCAGAAACAATGGATAATGAGGGAGAGAATAAATTTTTTCTAAAAGGTGTAAAATTACCAAAAAATTTATTTCATACTGCAAATACTGAAACGTGTGTAAAAGAAGCTGATATTCTTCTTGTTACTATTCCTACTCAATTTATTCGTTCATTTTTTAAGAAAAACAGAGATGTTATTCAAAAACACATCATAGAACGTAATATACCTATTGTTGTTTGTTCTAAAGGTATTGAAAAATCTACTTTGCGATTTCCTACAGAAATTCTTCAAGAATTTTTTCCACAATATCCGTTTACTGTTCTTGCAGGTCCTTCTTTCGCCATTGAAGTGGCTAAAGGTATACTTACTCATGTTTGTACAGCTAATGCAGATATTAAAAAAGCTCAAGAGGTACAACGTATATTAACTACTCCAGATGGATCTTTCCGATGTTGGTCTACTACGGATACAATTGGATGTGAAGTTGCGAGTGCAGTAAAAAATGTATTGGCTATTGCATCTGGTATGTATAAGGGTCTTGGAAATGAACTTAATGCTCGTGCTGCCCTTATCACACGAGGTCTTCTTGAAATTCGAGATTTAAGTCTTGCTCTTGGTGGTACAGGTGAAGCAGTATTCGGACTCGCCGGTCTTGGTGATCTTCTTCTTACTTGCTCTTCTGAATTATCAAGAAATTTTACCGTTGGACTGAAACTTGGACAAGGTATATCCCTCGAAGAGATACAACGTACCAGCAAGGCTGTCGCAGAGGGAGTGGCCACCGCAGAGCCACTTGAACGCCTTGCGGCAAAGTGTAACGTACATCTCCCTATCGCTCAAGTGGTGTACAAGGTATTGTATGAAAAGAAAAATGTACGAGAGGCATTTGAAAAGCTAAACACCTGCCCTTTGTCAGACGAAGGTCTTCCACCGCTGGTACGCACCTCCAAACTTTAAGGAGGAATATATATGAAAGAGAGAGAAAGAGAGAAAGAGAGCGTGTGAAGGAAATGGTTTATCCTTATGGGTTTTCTGGTTAAAATAAAAAACCTTCTTTTCCATTACTTTCCCATACCTTTTCATAAAGGGTGTGTTTTGAAAAGATTACCCAGCCTAACACTCGGAAAGGGGAGTGGGATTGAAAGGGCTTTCCATATACCATCCTTTACTTGACCCTATTAATTCGTTGCAGTGAGGAAGAGTCTTCCGAGTCCCACTGTAGGGGGGTTGTTTTCTTTAACATTTGTAGAGGAGAGGAGGAGGAGGAAAAGCCAGTTAACCATTATAAACATTTCCTTTTCCCTTTTTTTATTTATTTCCATTATGGAAAAATAAGGTATGGATCATTCCTGAAAGCTTGCGAAAGGGATGGGCTCCTGTTTTAAATATATTTATGGAATAAAAAAGAACTTATTATTATTATCAATATTATCAATATTATATTTTTATTAGTTTTTTGCCTGGTACGCGGAGTTCGCATTAAAGTGCAATTTTTGAAAGCCCATCCAACATATTGACCCTCTTTATTCTTCCCTTGTGGGTCGTGTGAAACACGCTTTCAGTACTACGTTTTTTTTTTTTTTCTCACAGCAACAAATGTTTACGGTAATGAGGAGTTTTTCTTTTATTTTTTGTGCAGTTGATTTCAATGTCATTGGGAAAAAATAATAAATCGGAGGGTCATAATAAATATTTTCTTTCTATGGTGTTTTTTTTTTTCTCTTTTTGCTCTTTCTTTCCATTAAAGAAGACTAAGACCATGACCAATTTTTTCGAGAGAGAGGACATGAGAAAGTAAAGTGGTTTTAAACTTAAGCCTGCTTCTAATTAAAATAAAAAGTCTTTTTTTCCATTACTCCCCAAATGCCTTTTCGCAAGGGAAGGGAGGGTTTCGTTCACCATTGGTCCCATTTCGAAAATTTGAAGCCCCTTCCTTCGAGAACCCTGGGGAGCATCGAACCCAAACGGTTCGAGAAGCCGAACACCCCACCGAAGCCGGCAGGGCCGAAGTCCCTCAATCCAGAGCCCCGCCCCCACCACCACCCACGGGGGAATCCCGGACGGACCTTTCCCGGACACCACAAAAGCGCGCGGAGGCAGAATCAATGGTCGCCGCGCGCGTTTCTTTTTTTTTTTCTTTCTTTCCGCCGCTGCTGGGGGCGGTTGGAGCAAACACCGTGGGAATCCGGATGGGGCGGGGAAGAAAGGGTTACGAATTTTTTTTTTTCGCGCAGAGAACGCTTTCCCAAACCCACTGCCGCACGCGCACCCCCTTCGACCACGCTTTTTCCGGGAGTCTTTTTGGGCGGTTCCTGCGGGGAGGGTGGGCCCTGTTTTGTTCGCCCATGATGCGCTGCAAAAACAAATTTTTTTTTCTTTAAAAGCTTGAGAACAACCCGATCAATAAAAAACACGGGCGACTTTTTTTTTTTAGATGTAAAGCCCTACCTTTTTCAAGGCCCACGTTAATTTTACATTGGCGCAAGGCATTGAAATAGGAGGGAATTTGGCACCGGGGCTCTTCCCGGATCACCCTGCAAGGGTTTAAAGAGGACCACCCTTCCAATTCCAATGGCGAAAGGCACCCGGGGACGAAATATTCACATGCATCGTACCATTTTCATGGCGCCTCCCTGATGCAGATGGGGTTTTCAAACCGTCTGTGTTTTTTTTTTTTTTTTCGGAAGGCCATCCTATGATCGATCCTTTCTTCTGAATTGCGTTATGGGGAAGTTTCTCTACACTAAGTCGTTCTTCTCGGCCCCCTGCACCCTCCAGAGATAGAGCTGAATTTCACCCCACGCACGACATCCAGCAAACAGCAGATCCTGATTATAACGTT